AAATAAATAATTTTTTTAAAAAAGGAAAAGAAAAGTGAGATGTCTATGTACCAAGAAATGGGATGATGATTGGTTGGGATGCAAGAAGAAAATATTAAAACTTCTATTTAGGTGTATTTTTCATCTAAGAATAACAAAGCAATTAAGATTTACTAACATTTAATATATTGACACTGGCACCTTTACTCTGATGTCAGATGGTCATTCACACAGACACACATTAGTACCCTAGGAGTTCCACAACTTGGAAGGTTTGACAGGGCACCAACACTCATTCACTTGACGTCAGAATATCACATTATATTGCAGCTTACATGTACCTGACTAAGTGGATTTCCCAATTATGTCATCTAGTTTTAGCTAAACAAACATAAAATCGACATATTTCTACATATACCTTAATGATAAAATTAATAACTAGAACTCAAACTAGAAAATGACAGAACTGACACTTCTAATCCTAGTATGAGCTCTTGGCCAATTAGATTACTAGGCATAGACGATGATGATCTAATCTCATCTCACAAGTAAGAAAAAAAATCAAATGATCAATTATCAAATAATCTTATTTGAAATATTTACATCTCTATGAATGATTAACCTCAATCTCTTAAGCCTTGAGATACTGTGCCAGTGATAGCATGAAGCCATCAATTAGCAAGACTTAAAAATTCAAGCTTTTATATATGAAAATTATACATGCTGCCTATAAAAACTCCTATCTGTATACTCCAAAAACATGCTAGCAGAATTTTAACCTATTTAAAAATTTTCCAAATTAAGAGATTCAGTGGGTTTTGAATCCATTTGCTAAAAATATGAAAAGGCAACATCTTCCAAGTAGTTTACAAGAACCACTGATTGACATCAGCAAATGCAAAACTAATTAGCCAAAATTTTTTTCAAAAATTTCTTTATACATATAATTGCTGGATAAGATTGAAGAATGGATGTGATCATTTAGTCAAATTTAGTAAATGGTGGATGCAATTCTTCAGTTTGGATCTACCTATCTTTGTGAGGTTCTTTTTTTCCTCCAACTACGACAGTAATTAATACCAAGTAACTAAATAAATTTAACTTAGAACCAGATCTTTGGATCTTGAGTGGTCATTTCACAATATAATGCCAAGACTTTCTAAAATAATGCAGCATACCAAATCACACTGTTCATACAGAATATGGTTATTACTAATTAATTAATGTGTTACTAATCAATATTACTAATTACTAGTTTAAGAGAAAGGATTTGGTACCATTAAAAGAATTTTTAAAACATTAAAATCATTTATGCCCTTTCAATCTTTTAGTGTATGTTTCATAATATGTATAACATATTATTAGTAGAGTAGGGCATGTATGCAACATGAAAATAAATATACACAAAATACATGCATCATGCTAAAAAATTTCTTAATGAGGGGGCATAACCAAAAAAAAGTTTGCAGACCATCTCTTTAAAGGTTTTTCATAATGCAAAGTGAACCAGTAGATTCTAAATTCATCTCCCTCTTTTGACCAAGACAGAAATGGTAAAAGTAAAGTATTTAATTACTTAGCTTGAAATAAGGAAATACAATATCAGAAGTCCTAACTCAGGGTGCTTATAAACTATTAGAAAATCAGAACACTTTCTTGGATACTTGATAGCTTTTAAACAGCTGCCAATTTTTTCAACCTGTTTCTGTTCCAATCCCAATTGTTTAAATGTTTGGCTACTTGTGAATTTAGTGGAATTTTTATTTTAAAAAAATCTATAAGAGACAACATTTTAATTTATTTCTATGTGAAATGAACTAACTCATTTTTTGAAAGTATCTTATTAGACTGTGAGGTCATATAGCAACTAAGTACAAAAAAGAATCATATTCATTTCATAACAACAAGTTCATATAAATGTCCAAGAGGCATAAATCATCCAATATTGTCCATTTTGCTGTACTTATTGAATTGAAGTTTGTCGTTGTTTAATTACATGGGTTCAGGCTATAGAAATTTGCTGTTGTTGCTCAGTCACTGACTCTTCATGACCCCATTTTTGGGTTTTCTTGGCAAATATACTGGAGTGGTTTGCCATTTTCTTCTGCAGCTCATTTTACAGATGAGCAACTGAAGCAAACAGGGTAAAATAACTTGCCCAGGGTCACACAGCTAGTAAGTGTCTGAGGCTGGATTTGAACTCAGGAAGATGTCTTCCTGATTTTAAGCCCAGTGTTCTATGTATTACACTACCTAGTTGCCCTAACACTCACTGAGTTGAAGTTTCTGGTTATCATTGTTTAATTGCGTAGATTAGGGCTATAGAAGGTGGCTAAACAATCTGTGACATGTAATTAAATGCAATGGAATATTACTCTACCATAAGAAATAATGAAGGTGAAGAATTCAGAGAAGCATATGAAGACTTAGACGAATTGATGCAGAGTGAAGTAAGAAGATCCAGGGGGGAAAACTATCCACAAGGACTACAGCAATGTAAACAGAAAAGAAAAAATTCAAAAATGAACAGTCATTAAAATGATGACGCTTGGCCCCCCAAAGGAGAAATGTACCTCCAGTTCTTCTTGATGGGACACTATAGGGGTAGAACATTACATATATTATCACACGTGACTGATAGGTTAGTTAATTTTGCTTAAGTGTTTTTTTCTTTCTCTTTTTTTTCCCTTTTCCTTATTACAAGGGATGACTCACTGGGTAGAGAAGAGGAAAGGACATTTTGGGAAATGAAGGTGATATGAAAACAAAAGATAGTAAAAAAATCACATGTATACATATATGTATATATGTACTTTATATGCAAGTGTTTTATTATAGTACGTGTGTTCATACATATATGTGTATAAATATACATAAACATACACATATAATTTTAAAACTAAACTTCTAGATGTTGGGAAAGAAGAATGTTAGCACTCAGCAAAGGCAAGCACTGAACAAACTTCCTCCTGCAGTCTTGTCTGCAAATTTATATCATCCTTGTCAATACCAAATCAAATTTCTGGAGGCATATGACCTGATTACAAGCAACTGATTGTATGAGCGACTAACTAACAAGCAAATCTGACAAGCAATATCCACAGAGGGGACTTTTCAGATTACCAAATGCATACTCACATGTAAATTGGACCTAGGTCTCAATGAATGAGTCAATGGATAAAGTCACTATACTTAAACATCTCAGAGGAAACTATGTTTACCAAGGGATAAACCATCCAATGACTGTACTTACCACAGACCTTTCTTCCATAAGATCATGTTTATTTTTAGACTAAATGACTAATCATCAGTAGAAATCATTCATTACAGGACCTCAAAACACTTTTAATGGTAGCATTCATTTCTTCATGATGAGTGGTTTATTTCTTGGACAAAAAAACTCAGCCAACTCCAGATTTTGCAGCATTTCCATATTTGCTCTATCACATCCAAGAGACTGCCATATTGAGACAGTGAAATATATTTTGTATTACTTTGGGATTCCTTTAAAATTCAATTTCATTTTATTTTCAGTTACAAATTCTCTTGCTCTGCCTTCCCCAATCGAGAAGGAAAGAAAAATAAAGCCCATTATTTTGTATTACTATAGAATGAAATTAATAATGTGTTTTTTGTAACACTGCTTAAGTTGTATACTAGCTCTTTACTAGGCATTGCAATTCAATAGATTAATGACTTTAAAATTTTTCAGAAATAAAACATTTATTTTTGTACATGCTTCAAAACATTTAATACTACTGGGCTGGTGGACCATGGTCCCCCATCATCCTAAATTGAAGAGATAATAATCCTCCCCTTTCTATTTATAGAGATATCACTACACCAAAGTGTTGTTATTACATAACATGATTATAAGCAACAAAGGTCAGAATATAATGTAGGGTCCAAAAATGGAATTTCTATTAACCAAGAATTCGATGAAATATATTTTTCATGTAAAATCAATTTGCACATAGGACAGATATCAAAAATGCAGTTCTTTAAAGTCTGTTGTGTGCTTTCACTTTAAATAAAAAGACAATTCTTTCCCACAACTCAGTGATGTCCTTTCTCAGTTGCACAAATATTGACTACAGTACCACCAAGCTTCAAGACTGGCCATGTGAACACATTATTAAGAAGAAAATAACCATCTCATCTGAAGGCTTAAGGTCTGAATGGACTTAGAGTGACAATGGTGAATTTCTAGTGGTGCTTTGCTAAAATGTCAATTTAAAACTGTTGTGCTACTTGAAGAAAAGCATCATTTATTTTTATAGCTGAATAAAAAAGCTCCACCTAACCACTGTTACTACATCACCTGTATGGTTCCAAATGTTAGGAGAACAGGAGAGGAATTTAATCACTCTCATTCCTCAAACCAATCAGAGCTATCATCACTCTGCAAGTATTATCAAAAACTCCTAAATATAACATCTTCTTCAAAGAACCAAGTCTTTTCTTATCTGCTAATGAGGAGAGTTGGCAATGGATTCTGAGCTTCCTTCCAGCTCTAGATCTATAATCCTATGAAAATAAATTTGCCAGTGCTGAAAATGAAAGGCAGATGTAGCCAATCTCTCTCCTAATTCAGTGCTTTAAAGTGGCCTCTCCTCTCTATGTCTCTTATCCAAGTGAACAACTTGGCTACGGTAGTGAGCTACCCACATGTAGGAAGCATCTACCAGTAAATTATACCTTGTAGACTAAAAAGTAAACTCACATCTACTCTACAGCTAGCTGTTCTCTGGTTCTGTGATATTTCTTTCTTTTTTTTTTTAACTAGCCCCTCCTAAATAAATACATAAATACATTAAATCTGCTTGCTGAGCCTGCTTGAGCTAGTTCAGCAGTGCTATTTGGGAAATCGCCTGGAAAGATTTACTTCAATACCAATCTAACTTGGACCGACATGCTAGAAACTCAGTGACCTAGTGATTTCATAACATGAACACAATGAATATTGGTACTCAGGAAATAGAACTTCTTCTGACCTTGAGAGTGCGGGCTAAATAAATTACCTCTGAACGCAAGTGGTGAGATCTCACGACCGCATCTGGAGAGAAAACAGAAAAGCAAGAACTGCATCGGACCCTGATTTCAATACCTGCTGAATCACTAATTAATAACTTATACTAGGTGACCTCGGTCCAGGTCGGGCAATCCCCACCTCACCACCCCTATACACACGGCGTCTTATCTAGTTGGAGAGACCGTGAGAGAACATCAGGCCATCACCCCTTCCGTGCTCTATCTGCGGGAAGGTCCCGCCAAAGTTATCGGGGAGTTATGGGGAACCCCAGCTCTCGCATCCCTGACTTTCTTCCTACCCCCTGGCTGAGCTCCTGTGAAGAAGGATGGGTGGGGACCAGGCTGCCGCAGTCCCGGACTCTGCTTGGAATCCCTTCAGGTTTTAGCAAACTGAGGCTAAAATGTGGATCTCTCACTCCTCCTTCCTCTCCCTCCCTACAATGTCTAGATCATCTAAGATGGGGGTAAATAATCCGGAGTCAGGTAGGGAGTGGGTAACTAGGGGTGGGAGATAGTGGAGGAGAAAAGGAAGCGCTTTTGCATCCCCTCCTCTATCGGCTCCAAACATCTTTCCTGTCCAGGGAAACGTAGCCAGTGCATCTCTTACCTCGGCTCCTGGAACGACCCGAAAAGACAGATTTCATGGGATGCCTCCCCTTCTGCAGCCTGCGGTGCCAGCAGCAGAAGAAGAGGATGGTGGCGATGGTCCCCAGGAGGAGCAGCAAGAGGAAGAGGGCACATTGAACGCTGTAAGGTCTCAGCAGCACCAAGAAGGCTGCGGCAATCATGGTGAGACGTGGGGGATGCTCAGGCTAGGCTGGAAGGACACGGAGACACATGCACAAGCACCTGGGGACACGCACACGCAGACACGAGCGACGCAGGATGGATGGATGGATGGCAGAATGTGTGTTGGCTCTAGAGCGGCGGCGGCAGCGACGGCGGCGTCATTCTCAGGGCTGCTGATCCCGCGAGGAGGCTCCCCAATGGCTGCAGACACAGAGCAGATCTGAGCTGATGATTGAATGCTGGGGGGGAGCTCAATGCATGACTCAGCAGACGGCGACAGGGAAGCGACCCGGCAGCCGGGGATTTTTTTTTCCTACCTCCCTCTTTGCCCTCACCCTTCCCCTCCCCCAGCCTCCCGCGTTGGTGCAGCTCAGCCCCCAGCGGCAGCGCTGCATGGAAACCGAGAGAGGGGAGCCCCTGCTCCGGTCGAGCCCGCCGCATTGCCCGGTAGACGCCTCCAGCTCCAGCATCCCAGCAGCGCCCAATTTAAATGCTGACCCCGGGACTGGAGAAGGGGCTGGCGTGGAAGGAGCTGTGGGGGTGGGGCACGCGAGCTCATCCCCAAGTTGACTGCTGCCGGCGACTCCCCGGGAGGGGGGAGGAGAGGAGGAGGAAAAAAAGGGGGGTGGTTTTGACTTGGCATGCTGGCTGATGACATCACAGGTTGTGGATGCTGCAGAAGGGGAGAGCGAACATGGCTGCTTCAAGTGAGGTACACTGAGTCCTGAACAGCGGACGACTGCGAAAGGCTTTCGGGAGCCCCGCTGGGGCTGCCAGCGGCCGGAGGGCTTGGGCTTTTCCGCAAGCCCCTCGGGCAGGAAGGATCCGACCCTGGTGAAGCGGATGAGACAGTGGCAGGGAGGGGGTAAGGAGTTGGGGGGTGAAGGGGAAGCTGATTATCCACACACTGATGATTTTCTTCTGGATTTAGATAGTCTGTGGCTCCCCAGCTCGTCTCACTGTCCAAAGCTACGGGGGAGCTAGACGTAGGGGAGAGGGGAAGAAGGGGGCGTGGGAGAGAAGTAAAACGATGAAGAATTGCTTACTCTCCAGTAGGTTCTGTTCTACCTAGAACACTGCACCCGGAGCTTCTGAGTTAGGGATGAGGTAGGGGTAGAGAAGGAGAAACAAGTGCTCACATGCGCGGAAAACCGAGGAAATCCTGGGGCTTCCAAAACTGGGTTGGGTGGGGGTAGGGGAGAAAACTATCCCCTCTGCAACCCCTTCTTCTACAGCGCCCTCCCTGATAGACCGGAGGTGTGAACTGCATCATCCCCTCTTCCCTAGAATTCAGCGTGAATTCTTCGGGCTTGGGGGGGGGGGTGCAGAAAAAAAAAGGAGAGTGGTTCGTCTAGTGTTATGGGTACTAAATTATGTCTCATTTAGTGAATCTGATGGAAAGAACTATTCCAAACTCTTTGACCTGATGCCTCAAGGGATTTAGGGATTAACTTGGGAAATGAATTTTTTTTTAACGTAGTAGGGGAGATGGGAGGGGTAAAGGTTGATTCTCCTTTTTATAAAGACCTAGGGAAGACTAAGAAGCAATTGTGTATTGCTCCAGTGTAGACCCACATGTCGCCACGAAGGCTATGGCAGTTTATAAGTAGATGGATTTTTATGTTGTTGCAGTTGTGAAACCTTGGTGAATAAACTATGGAAGCTATGATTTATTACATTATGACATCTAAGGCTCTTTAGGCATTAGCAGAGCTCAGGGGCTGAGTGTTTGTTGCATTGTATCCACAGCAAAGAGATACATTACTCTCCTGCAGTAAACTGCAGCTTTCTGCAGCAATAATTACTGCATGAGTGAACCTCCTCAGGTGCTGTCATCCCAAAAGGATATCTCAGAATTTAGTAACTAGAAAGCTACTAGACAATTCTAGTTTAAATATTTTATCTGTAAAGGCAGTTCTAATGACAGGCATGACAGTTTTTTTAACCACACTTGCTGCCATATGGAGTCTTTGATTTAGAGGTGGAAGGGACCTTAGAAATCATTCTAGTTCAGATATCTCTTTGACAGATAAGGAAATCCAGACTCATGGAGGGTTAAATAACTTGCCCTAGGTTGCACAAGTATTAAATTGAGAATATTTCACAGATTTTTTATAGGAAATTGTTTCTTTTGGAAAGCAGTTTGCAGAAAGCAAGTTTGCACATGATATAAATTTAGAATCAAATAAAATGCCAAGACACTTTGAAAATTTGTTTAACTTTAGTGATACAGCAATGAGGCAATCCCCCCCCAAAAAAAAAGTACGGTTGATACTTTTTTGGGTATACTTATCCAGCCAAAATCATTGAACTGTAGGAATGGCTTTAACATATTGTTCATAGAGCATAGATTTAGAGCTGGAAGGGACTTTGGAGGTCATCTAAACCAACCTTCTCAATTAACAGAAGAGGAAATTGAAGTCAAGAAGAGGTTAAGTGACTTGTTTGAGTTCACACAGACAATAAATGGGGTTTAGTAAATAACTCTACAGTAGAGGCAAATGAAGAGCAGGCACATAGCTTACTGGATAGAGAATGAGATTTGACGTTAAGAATAGAACTTCCTTAAAGTCCTACTCCAGCCCATAAGCTGAGTTGACTATGGGCAAGTCACCTAATATTTCAGAGTCCCCAGAGAATTCTCTAAAGGTATGTTGACTCTAGGACTCCAGGTTATATACAGAGTACTGATCTGCATTGGTGTTTCATTTTATTATTTTAGAATTGAAGATGCCCTGTGTCTGCTGTGAATAAACACCTGGAAAGGCTATGTAATAAGAAAAGTAGAATTTTACAGTATCACAGGCATTACCAGTATATCTAGCAACTGACTGATGCTATCAAGTAGAACTGTATCATGTGATCTGGTACTCCTGAAGGTTTCTTGACACCGCAGTAGACTGCAGTAAGGCAGAGTAATATTAATGCAATAATGGAGATTATTAAAAAGTATCCTGTTAGTTTGCAACATATGGCCAAACATTGTAAAATACTCTGCTTATCACAGTGTTAAGTGCAGTAACAGGAAATTTTTAAAGAAAACTTAATACATACTGTGTGTGAAGATGAATTCTGATAGATTTGAGTAAACTTAATATTGATTTTTTTCACTTAAAGTAGATTTATGATAAAATAGACATCCTGGCACAAAGAGTTATCAAATTTTGTGAATGCAATATAGAACTAATTTGTTCCCAAACTCAAAATTTTTAGCAAAAAAAAATTCACTACAATTTGATATCTTTAAAGCCACTTATCAGTTCCATAAATTTTACTGCATCCCTTTATTTGTTTCAGGTACATAAGAGAGCAGCATTTATCTCCCTGTATTAGCAAATACAGAGCTGGCTGGCACTCAAAGAGGATTGTGCATACTTCTCAGAAAATTAATTTAATTTCCCTCTTACATTGGTTATCACCAACTGATGTACCAAGAATAGGCAAACTAAATCTCTGAAGGTATATTGCATTTAGTGAAAAATCCAAATTTCTGTTGGCATTTTCCTACTAGTTTTTGAGGATAATCTCTAATTTCTTCCTTCAAATAATAGCATATTGTTACTGTTTCTTTTAAGTATGTTTCTATTTCTATATAATTCCTAGCCCACTTATGGACATTCCATAAAAATTAATTTAGCCAATTAATCCTTTTAGAGCTAATTTAGCTTCTACAATCACTCCATTTCATAATGTTGGATGCAAGAAAAGGCAAAAAATTTTAAATATTGTGGCAAATTCACAGATTAGTGAGGAAATGGCAAGAAATCTACTATACCAGGAATTTCTGGAATGTTATATTATAATTTGAAAGCTGTGTTAATTTACTGAATGAGTCCCAACTTAATTAAAATAATTGCCCATCATTAGTTCCCTATGCTGGAAATACCCTTGACATCTGTCATTAAATATTTTACAGTAAAATTACCCCCCCAAGTTCTGTTTATAGTACATACGTTTTATTTTATTTAGTTTTTGTTATAGATTTCATCTTTAATTCAACTTTATTTTCAGTTTTGAATTCTCTACATTCTTCCTCCTCCACCCATTGAGAAGGCAAGAAAAGCAAAATCCATCACATATATGTGTGTGTGTGTGTGTGTGTATATATGTGTATATGTGTATATATATATGGAGAGAGAGAGAGAATCATGCAAAAGAAATTTCCACATTAGTCATGTCCCAAAAAAGAAAGAAACAGAAGACGTGCTTCAATCTACACTTTGAATTCGTTAGTTCCCTGTCTGGATGTGAATAATATGTGTCATCATGAGTTTCCAGATATTGTGATTGGTGGGGCCGCTAGGTGGCTTAGTGGATAAAGCTCGGGCCTTGGAGTTAGGAGGACCTGAGTTCAAATTTGACCTCAAACACTTGACAGTTACTAGCTGTGTGACCCTGGGCAAGTGACTTAACCCCGATTGCCTCATCAAAAAGAAAAAGAAATCCCAACCAAAAGGAATTGTGATTGGCCATTGTGTTGATCAGAGTTAGTACGTCTTTAAAATTTGATTATCTTTCCAATTTTGCTGTTAATGTATAAGTTGTTCTCCTGGTTCTTCTCACTTCCCTTTCATCAGTTCATAAAAGTCTTCCCAGGTTTTCCTGAAACCATCCTCTTCATCATTTCTTACAGCACAACAGCATTTCACCACATACATGTTCCCTAACTTGTTTAGCCACTTCCCCAACTGATAAACATCCTCTCAGTTTCCAATTCTTTGCCACCATAAAAAGAGCAATAACACACATTTTTTTAAAAAGATGTAAAATTAAATTATGTTGCTTAGTATGAAAAATCTTTGTAGATTTACTGTCTAAAGACAATCTATTTTGATTCAACAAACATTCATTAAGAGTCTACCACACACAATACACTGCACTCTGGACACAAAGAATAAGCAAAAAGTCCTGTCCTCCAGGAGTTACATTCTACTAAAGAAATATGTTGTTGTTGTTTTTTTAAAAGTAAATACAAAGAAATATTAGGAGGGAGGCAGCGCTAACAATAGGAGGGGAACAGGAAAGATTTCCAATTAGAAACTGAAGCTCGAAAATGAAAATAGAAATTCTAACTAGAGGTAAAGGTAAAGAGAGTTTGCATTCTAGGTACAAGGGAACAACCTAAGGCAGAGATGTTAGATGATAAAGTGAGTTCTGGGAATCTCTTGTAGACAAGTTTGGAACATGGTTGTGAAGAGGAGTGATATGAAGTGTCTAGAAAGGTGTATGAGATATAAACTTTCATATCTCACCTAATAATTGTCACAGACTTTATGCCAATTTTTACCCAAAAAGTGGGGCATGACCATTATGTAAAGCTTTAAAATGTGCCAGTATTACTTAAAAATTATTTATTACTAAACTGTCTTTGGTGCAAGATTAGGATGCATGGAATACTTGTGAATATACATTAAAATTGAACACTGACAATGCACATAGGCTGAGAATTCTAAGCTAGCAGCTCGCAGCATATGAGTGATAAATGAGTATACATATGCCACTAGTGAATACATTCTGCTCTATTTACCTTTCAAGTGGCCTGATGAACAGAATTATAGTGTGGGACTATTACGTGATGAAAGGTTATAAACCAATTTTGGAAAAAAAAAAACCAGAGTATGATGATTATGCAATGGTGACGATTATGTGGTGAAATGCAGTATATCAAATTGCTTACCATTTTTAGGGAGGGAGGAGGAAAGAAAGGGAAAGATTAATTTGGAAGCAAATATTTTTTTAAAAATGAATGTTAGGGGCAGCAAGGTGGAACAGTGGATAGATGCCTGGCCCTGGAGTCAGGAGGACCTGAGTTCAAATATGGCTTCAGACACTTGACACTTACTAGCTTTGTGACCCTGGGCCAGT